CTGTGTGTGAAGAGATAGATGGAGTCACTGTGTGTAGAGATAGATGGAGTCACTGTGTGTGTAGAGATAGATGGAGTCACTGTGTGTGAAGAGATAGATGGAGTCACTGTGTGTGAAGAGATAGATGGAGTCACTGTGTGTGAAGAGATAGATGGAGTCACTGTGTGTGAAGAGATAGATAGAGTCACTGTGTGTGAAGAGATAGATGGAGTCACTGCGTGTGAAGAGATAGATGGAGTCACTGTGTGTGAAGAGATAGATGGAGTCACTGTGTGTGAAGAGATAGATGGAGTCACTGTGTGTGAAGAGATAGATGGAGTCACTGTGTGTGAAGAGATAGATGGAGTCACTGTGTGTGAAGAGATAGATGGAGTCACTGTGTGTGTAGAGATAGATGGAGTCACTGTGTGTGAAGAGATAGATGGAGTCACTGTGTGTGTGAAGAGATAGATGGAGTCACTGTGTGTGTAGAGATAGATGGAGTCACTGTGTGTGAAGAGATAGATGGAGTCACTGTGTGTGTGAAGAGATAGATGGAGTCACTGTGTGTGTAGAGATAGATGGAGTCACTGTGTGTGAAGAGATAGATGGAGTCACTGCATGTGAAGAGATAGATGGAGTCACTGTGTGTGAAGAGATAGATGCAGTCACTGCGTGTGAAGAGATAGATGGAGTCACTGTGTGTGAATAGATAGATGGAGTCACTGTGTGTGAATAGATAGATGGAGTCACTGTGTGTGTAGAGATAGATGGAGTCACTGTGTGTGAAGAGATAGATGGAGTCACTGTGTGTGAATAGATAGATGGAGTCACTGTGTGTGAAGAGATAGATGGAGTCACTGCGTGTGAAGACATAGATGGAGTCACTGTGTGTGAATAGATAGATGGAGTCACTGTGTGTGAAGAGATAGATGGAGTCACTGTGTGTGAAGAGATAGATGGAGTCACTGTGTGTGAATAGATAGATGGAGTCACTGTGTGTGAAGAGATAGATGGAGTCACTGTGTGTGAAGAGATAGATGGAGTCACTGTGTGTGAATAGATAGATGGAGTCACTGTGTGTGAAGAGATAGATGGAGTCACTGTGTGTGAAGAGATAGATGGAGTCACTGTGTGTGAAGAGATAGATGGAGTCACTGTGTGTGAAGAGATAGATGGAGTCACTGTGTGTGAAGAGATAGATGGAGTCACTGTGTGTGAAGAGATAGATGGAGTCACTGTGTGTGAAGAGATAGATGGAGTCACTGTGTGTGAAGAGATAGATGGAGTCACTGTGTGTGAATAGATAGATGGAGTCACTGTGTGTGAATAGATAGATGGAGTCACTGCGTGTGAAGAGATAGATGGAGTCACTGTGTGTCAAGAGATAGATGGAGTCACTGTGTGTGAAGAGATAGATGGAGTCACTGTGTGTGAAGAGATAGATGGAGTCACTGTGTGTGAAGAGATAGATGGAGTCACTGCATGTGAATAGATAGATGGAGTCACTGTGTGTGTAGAGATAGATGGAGTCACTGTGTGTGAAGAGATAGATGGAGTCACTGTGTGTGAAGAGATAGATGGAGTCACTGTGTGTGAAGAGATAGATGGAGTCACTGTGTGTGAAGAGATAGATGGAGTCACTGTGTGTGAAGAGATAGATGGAGTCACTGTGTGTGAATAGATAGATGGAGTCACTGTGTGTGTAGAGATAGATGGAGTCACTGTGTGTGAAGAGATAGATGGAGTCACTGTGTGTGAATAGATAGATGGAGTCCCTGCGTGTGTGAAGAGATAGATGGAGTCACTGTGTGTGTAGAGATAGATGGAGTCACTGTGTGTGTGTGTAGTGATAGTAGACACACTGTGTGTGTGTGTAGAGATAGTAGACACACTGTGTGTGTGTGTGTAGAGATAGTAGACACTGTGTGTGTGTGTAGTGATAGTAGACACACTGTGTGTGTGTGTAGAGATAGTACACACTGTGTGTGTGTGTAGAGATAGTAGACACTGTGTGTGTGTGTAGAGATAGTACACACTGTGTGTGTGTAGTGATAGTACACACTGTGTGTGTGTGTAGAGATAGTACACACTGTGTGTGTGTAGAGATAGTAGACACACTGTGTGTGTAGAGATAGTAGACACACTGTGTGTGTGTAGAGATAGTAGACACACTGTGTGTGTGTGTAGTGATAGTAGACACACTGTGTGTGTGTGTAGTGATAGTACACACTGTGTGTGTGTGTAGTGATAGTAGACACACTGTATGTGTGTGTAGTGATAGTACACACTGTGTGTGTGTGTAGAGATAGTAGACACTGTGTGTGTGTGTAGTGATAGTAGACACACTGTGTGTGTGTGTAGAGATAGTAGACACTGTGTGTGTGTGTGTAGAGATAGTACACACTGTGTGTGTGTGTAGTGATAGTAGACACACTGTGTGTGTGTGTAGTGATAGTAGACACACTGTGTGTGTGTAGTGATAGTAGACACACTGTGTGTGTGTGTGTAGTGATAGTAGACACACTGTGTGTGTGTGTGTGTAGTGATAGTAGACACACTGTGTGTGTGTGTAGTGATAGTAGACACTGTGTGTGTGTAGTGATAGTAGACACACTGTGTGTGTGTGTAGTGATAGTACACACTGTGTGTGTGTAGAGATAGTACACACTGTGTGTGTGTGTAGAGATAGTAGACACACTGTGTGTGTGTGTGTAGAGATAGTAGACACTGTGTGTGTGTGTAGAGATAGTACACACTGTGTGTGTGTGTAGTGATAGTAGACACACTGTGTGTGTGTGTAGAGATAGTAGACACACTGTGTGTGTGTAGAGATAGTACACACTGTGTGTGTGTGTAGTGATAGTAGACACACTGTGTGTGTGTGTAGTGATAGTACACACTGTGTGTGTGTAGAGATAGTAGACACACTGTGTGTGTGTAGTGATAGTACACACTGTGTGTGTGTAGAGATAGTACACACTGTGTGTGTGTGTGTAGTGATAGTAGACACTGTGTGTGTGTAGTGATAGTAGACACACTGTGTGTGTGTGTGTAGTGATAGTACACACTGTGTGTGTGTGTAGAGATAGTACACACTGTGTGTGTGTGTAGAGATAGTACACACTGTGTGTGTGTAGAGATAGTAGACACACTGTGTGTGTGTGTAGAGATAGTACACACTGTGTGTGTATAGAGATAGTAGACACACTGTGTGTGTGTAGTGATAGTAGACACACTGTGTGTGTGTGTAGTGATAGTAGACACACTGTGTGTGTGTAGTGATAGTACACACTGTGTGTGTGTGTGTAGTGATAGTACACACTGTGTGTGTGTGTAGTGATAGTAGACACACTGTGTGTGTGTAGTGATAGTAGACACACTGTGTGTGTGTGTAGAGATAGTAGACACACTGTGTGTGTGTGTAGAGATAGTAGACACACTGTGTGTGTGTGTAGTGATAGTAGACACACTGTGTGTGTGTAGTGATAGTAGACACACTGTGTGTGTGTAGTGATAGTAGACACACTGTGTGTGTGTGTAGTGATAGTAGACACACTGTGTGTGTGTAGTGATAGTAGACACACTGTGTGTGTGTAGTGATAGTAGACACACTGTGTGTGTGTGTAGTGATAGTAGACACACTGTGTGTGTGTAGTGATAGTACACACTGTGTGTGTGTAGAGATAGTAGACACACTGTGTGTGTGTGTAGAGATAGTACACACTGTGTGTGTGTGTAGAGATAGTAGACACACTGTGTGTGTGTGTAGAGATAGTAGACACACTGTGTGTGTGTAGTGATAGTAGACACACTGTGTGTGTGTAGTGATAGTAGACACACTGTGTGTGTGTAGTGATAGTAGACACACTGTGTGTGTGTAGAGATAGTACACACACTGTGTGTGTGTGTGTAGAGATAGTACACACTGTGTGTGTGTGTAGAGATAGTACACACTGTGTGTGTGTAGAGATAGTAGACACTGTGTGTGTGTGTAGTGATAGTAGACACACTGTGTGTGTAGTGATAGTAGACACACTGTGTGTGTGTGTAGATATAGTACACACTGTGTGTGTGTAGTGATAGTAGACACACTGTGTGTGTGTAGTGATAGTAGACACACTGTGTGTGTGTAGTGATAGTAGACACACTGTGTGTGTGTAGTGATAGTACACACTGTGTGTGTGTAGTGATAGTAGACACTGTGTGTGTGTGTAGTGATAGTAGACACACTGTGTGTGTGTAGTGATAGTACACACTGTGTGTGTGTAGTGATAGTAGACACACTGTGTGTGTAGAGATAGTACACACTGTGTGTGTGTAGTGATAGTAGACACACTGTGTGTGTAGAGATAGTACACACTGTGTGTTTGTGTAGTGATAGTAGACACACTGTGTGTGTGTGTAGTGATAGTAGACACACTGTGTGTGTGTGTAGTGATAGTAGACACACTGTGTGTGTGTGTAGAGATAGTAGTAATAGTAATAGTGAGTAATAGTGATAGTGAGTAATAGTAATAGTGAGTAATAGTGATAGTGAGTAATAGTGATAGTGAGTAATAGTTATAGTAGTAATAGTGAGTAATAGTGATAGTGAGTAATGGTGAGTAATAGTGAGTAATAGTAATAGTGAGTAATAGTGAGTAATAGTGAGTAATAGTAATAGTGAGTAATAGTAATAGTGAGTAATAGTGAGTAATAGTGATAGTAGTAATAGTGAGTAATAGTGATAGTGAGTAATAGTAATAGTGAGTAATAGTGATAGTGAGTAATAGTGAGTAATAGTGATAGTGAGTAATAGTGAGTAATAGTGATAGTGAGTAATAGTAATAGTGAGTAATAGTAATAGTGAGTAATAGTGAGTAATAGTGATAGTGAGTAATAGTAATAGTGAGTAATAGTGATAGTGAGTAAGAGTAATAGTGAGTAATAGTGATAGTGAGTAATAGTGAGTAATAGTAATAATAGTAATAGTGAGTGATAGTAATAGTGAGTAATAGTGAGTAATAGTGAGTAATAGT